GGGGAACCGAATGACGTATGGACCAACGAATAACTTTATTTCAACCCCTTTTATTCAACTAGTTTATACTACCGGAATGGACCGACTTCAAGGATGTTGTAGGTATCGATTTTCCACAAACAACCAAACGAGACCGACAGAGCTCCTGATCTAGTGCTGGTTCCGAGAGTATAAAAACAAATGGACGGATCGGAGACCCAAATTTTGGATTCCTTTTCAAAGGTGCTGAATTAAGTAGATATACAACACGGTACAATGACTGTATTCGTCTCTGCTGGAGAACCTGTCACTTCCACTCGAGGTTGGAGTTAGATCCGCTTAAGGAGCTACTCGATCGTAATTTACGTCAATTGACTGAAGCCATCTGTCATTAGTATCAGTGGTCGACAACCATTTAGCTTTTTATTAAACTTTGGCACATTCAGTCACAAAAGGACTAGTATGATGAAAATTAAAATGCTTTTAGCCATTAGTCATCCCAGTTCACTGACAGCAGGGTCTGTGTTGTGTTCTTTGTGCTTTATCGCACGTCGTACATGAATGACCATAACTACTAAGGAGTGAGGTCCGAAAAGAACACAAAACACGGATCATGGTGTCTGTGAAATGACATGAATAATTGAATGTTTGTTCTCCATAGCTAGGCACTCAATATGTAGGATGTCACCCGTGCAGCTCAACAATACGAATTCTACCCGAGCCCCAAGGGTTGCCAAGGGTCCAAACAAGTACTCTTCATTGGCTATCGGAAACAAGATCACTTTGGAAATATTGTAGTTCGGAATGATGTTGGTTTTGGTGTTCTCCGAACTGGGAAACGTTGTTCGCATTTGCACTCATGATGTTGCCTAGGCCCGGCCACGAAACGTCTGTGAACAACACTTCCAGCTCGGAGAACACAATAGCACCAACATAATCCCAATCTGTACCACTGCGGTGCTTTTTCCGTTTCATCGTCATCATAATCGTACAGTGAAATACAGTGAGGCGAACTTCACTGATCGCTGCCAAACTCGTAATGCACATGCATTGGGGGTTTGATGGACGGGTACTGCCAGGGTGTCCAGCCACTAAGCAGGAGAACCATTAGGGTTCTCAAGCAAAGCCTTTAGTTCTAACAAGAATCTAGCCGCAAGGCAGCAGTTAAAGCGAAGTGGAGGCCCATTTACTTGGATCAGTTACTTCTCCACTATTTTTTACCGACTGAAACGTTAATTCGAGTCGAACCCCCAACCTGGAGGACCAGGAGACTAGACNGACTTTGTCCGACTTCTACCCTTCGACTTTCCAGGCATGATTAGCTCTTCGGCTTGACAAAAGCCATCCTGTGTAGCTCATTGGATCAGAGAGGTGCACAAGCCATCATACCACGTCAAGGTGCAATCTCGTGATGGCTTTTTCCATTTGCCGACAAGCATTTCACGTCATTGACATATGCCATACGCGTGATGTGAGCACTTTCTTTGGAAATCAATCATGTCGTAAAAATTGAACACTGTCCGATCAATGTGGCTATCATGCACACCAATACAGACGAACGTTATCAGGGACAACAATAGTGGACATTTTTTTCCAAAGGACCTAAACATAACATGCATCATACAAGCCTCATTTAGCCTTGCTTCAATCAGTTTACTCAGATGCTTCTAAGGACGAACCGCCGTAGTGGTTAGTTTGCATGCCAACTGGTGTGCCTATATGGGTTGAATGGGTAACCGAATATGATATAATCCGAGCAATAGGTACTCGCTAATGTAACTTTCCATAAATTGTCGTTACTGCTTGGCAGTTAAGCGTTCCAAAGCAGAAAGTATGCGAAGAGCCACAAAGCCGTGAGGAAATAAAATATCATATACTTACTGGGGGCTTTAAAATGAACGATTCCTGTGGCCCAGCTTCGACGTCTGAGGTGGAAATCATTGTCTCGGTCACTACGATGTGATTACGCAGACCCCGGCGCGTGGACGAGGACCGGATCCGTCGGAACAGTCGTCGCAGCCAGTGTAGCGCGCCCGAGGAACGATTCACATCTCGCGTTCGAGTTATGGGTCTGTCCCAATTCTCTGTCTGTGCACAACTGACCTCCGCATCCGAGTTTGTGAAAGATAGTCCGGCATCCGAAACATGAACTGAATGACTGGTAGCAGTGCCATTGTTCGAGGTAGTTCTTTTCTCTAGCTCCTCATCGCTCGCAAACTGATCCGGTTCTACGAATACGGGGAAAAAGTTCCATCCCGGACAAGCCTGAAGTCTTCTACATCCAACCCCGCCGGTGCTTGAGGCATCCACCTCCAATTCTTCGCCAAAAAGGGTAGTACACGAGATAACATGACCACTCTGGCTCATCAAGAGGAATCGTTTACCGGAATTCGCCCGATCCAGACTAGCTCTTGAATCGTTCTCCGTCTTGCCGGGATTTGACCCGGTCATTGTACCTCCGCCGGTGCTCATCCACACGGACGGAGACACACACTCGGATGATGTGAGATTGAATAGGCTAGCTCGACCGATTGGCGGAGTAGTCAGAACACGGGTTAGTCGACGTCGGCGTTTCGTATCCGAATCTAACTGGGAAAAATTGACCTCTCGAGTCGAGTGTCGAGAACCCACACTGTACTTAGCTTCGGGCACGAGATTTGGAAGTGTAACACCAGATTCCCTGCTATTCCCATGGACCGGTTGACTTGTGTTCAACCTGGCCGTTTCGTCTGATTCATTGCCCTCACCATCCAGATTTAGTCGTTCGTCACTGAAAGACAAAGAGGGGAAACGTCAGTGTTTAACAGGACACAACGGAAGAATTTCTTTGAATGATTGTTGCAACCGAGGAATATTCCTGAGAAAACAATTAGTAAACCACCGGTAGACCCCACAGGTAAAAACGTAATCTAATAGCAAACTTGCTGTCCTTGCAGACATTTGTTTCCACCAGTCGTTATCCGCCTGGCACTGTTTCGATTTACGACTAATCTGGCAAATTGTATCTAGATTACTAATATGAGAAATTGATAAAACCCAGTGTGAGACATACTATGCTCTTATATTTCAATGAATAAAGCCGCACTATATTTTTAGCCTAACACCGCAATACCACTATCCGAAACCAAGAGAAGATTTAACTATGAGGAGTAAACCTGGAGCTATATATGGTTTTCCAAGTTATGATAAAAAATTTCTTTGTTGTGTTCCATAACTCGTTTGTCATTCAGTATGGGCTTATACAAGTGTGAAGCGTAATGCGGTATGGCTGCAACGACGACGACGACTGTCGTAGTGACCCCGATAACAACCATCCTACAGCCATGTTATCTAAAATTGTGGAATCGATTAGGCAGATACCCTAATGGGAAGCATAGAAAGACATCACGTTCTCTTTTCAGATCAACATAATTTCCGACTAAAGTAATCCCATGCTACCAAACCTAGTTCGTCTGAGATAAACGGACAACAACAGTTGACGAGGGGGATGCGTTGGGCATGATTTACATGGACTTTTCAATAGCACTCGAAAGGAGTCCCATCCAAATACTCCTGGACAAGGCACAAGACATTCGAAGTTTTGCGCTTGATTGAAGCAAAGAATTTGTTGATTTGCTGTCCAATCTTATCGATGTCGCGCAAAGAATTTCGCAAGAATCTGTGCTTGGTACTCGACTTTTCGGTACATTCATTCGCGACCTTCCGAATGATTGTATGTAGCACCCTTTCGCAACACCCCCATTGAAGCACTTGCTAACCTGGTATTCCAATGATGGTCGCATCGGATAGAAAAATCGATCACATTCTAGTGTAAACTGGTTGAACGTTTTCCAGAAAGAACTCTCGCTCGGATAAATGACAGGAAACGCCACTGACACAGACTACGTTCTGGTACGGGGCCGCTTCAAAGTTCATCTGTGTAGATGACTCAGGGTTTTAATCGACCCAGATGAACGTTGTGGCCCTGGAGCACAGAGAAACACCAGGNCTCCCCCCCCCCCTTGTGGTCACGGCAAACGAAATTCTAACGAATGAAACTTCTTTTCAAGGTCAGTGGACGCAGATCAAAGAAGTTAGTTTGACGATCGGGAACCTTGTGATGGACCAAATCAATGGATGTCTTAAACAATGGCCCTCGCGAATCGACTCAGGCTCCGTGCACACTTGGTTAACCTGTATTTTCACGTCGAACTGGGTGCTGTTTTAAACTTTTCACATCTTCGTCTTTCGCTCTCCAGTGATCGACAATGTGCGATGCAAGTGAACCGTTAACGATTGTTCACAATTAAACTGAAATGGCAAAACACCTAAGACCTCAAGTAGGAGTTAGGGGTGTGTGTGTGGTATAACGAAACCAACAAACGGATCAGTCATGGTGAACAATGAAGTCCCATTCAAACAAGAAGACGGCTTTCACAAGGCAGTATTTATCAGATTACTTGGACGGGTATTGATAGAGGCAGAGAGACCGAGGCATTGGCATTGCGAATGGGTAGAAAATTATCATGTGTGTGTGTGTGAGACGTGACGGGACTAAGCACACACACACACACACACACACACACTGAATAATTAATAAGTGATCCAATTATCGAAGTTTTGGAGTCAACACAACTGCCCCCGTTTTGGGACAAGGAACGAAATTTGGGGCCTAATATTATGAATATGAATGTGTACTACTATTCTAATAACACCAAAGATGAGGACCGGAAACAGAGCGACAATAAGGCAGGCATATCTTTGCTCTAGTACATGCTACAATAAGACTAGGTAGAGAATGTGCGCAAAAGTGACGATGCCATTGGTGCGATTAAAAAGCCAAGTGGGGAGAACGGAGAGCAGAAATATCGGCACCAACGCGGATGACCAAAAACGCGCACTTATTACGATACCTTTGAATTTTAGTCTATCAGAAAACAATTTTCTGAAGTGACGACAATAGTAGCAATACTAATATAAGTAAACAATCAACTTTAAAGAAAGGGGGGCTGCAGCTGGCTGATGACATGACACAAGCTAGTGTTACCCTCGAATCCAGATGATAATAATGACATGAAAGTCAAACGGGAAAAGAGGAAAAGTCTAGGGTATGGTTACAATCACCCAGCAGAGTGTGTAGGTGATTATCAAGCGCAGATGCCAGGAAAAGTGGTGGCGTAGTAGTTTGGTTGCTGTCACAGGACCCTATGATCCGAGGTTCGAGCCCCGCCACCGCTACCCAACTTTGCTGCTACTATCATCCCGTTGAATACCACGCCTATCCTGGTGGGACCTTATGTGGTTCACCACTCCAAGTCCCCGGGGCATAGGTTACCGGGTTCCATCACCGAACAGTAGGTCCTCGCGACTATGGGGTTTACTCCGTCTGCTGTTCATCACACGAAAAGTGTGTAATAAAATAAGGTAAAAGCGGAGAATGAGATGGGTTGACCACATAAATAGAGCACTAGAAGAAACGGAAATTATAAAGATATGAAGTGGAGAAAAAATTGGGTTATTAATGATATGAAGGGAATTAGTCCGACTAAGAAGGATGCATATAGGCCTGGATTGTACTCCTGTCTAATCAATGGCGAATGAGCTCTTAGCGAGCCATGGGGGCAATTATGTACGTCTCTCGTACCGAATTTTCATGAAATCCCAGGGTATTCGTGAACCTGGCTTAACTTTTTTAAGGAGCCTAGTATAGTATATAAGTGAGTCAGTGGTAACCTTCAATATCGTTATTTAACCAGCAGTTTTGCGGTGAGTGATCCTAGTCTTGAAGCACAACGAATAATGAGCACATATTACTACGGAGAACGTTGCAGACAGTTGTGGTTGCGTGTAGCTGGATGGCTTAAGACTTTCTGCAATTTACCTCACTTGTCTGTTCTCATTTGTGCAGTTCAGCTGATTGAGGGAGTGCAATAATAACGGGGAAATGATTGAATGATATTTTTTTATAAGCATCGTACAGATTCTGAGGTGGAATCAGAGAGATTATTTAGCTTTAAATAAGTGAAACCTACAAGAAGGAATACAGAACATAGAACAGATATTCAATAGGCGCGCATCAGAACGGGTAGGTGTGTAGTTGTATATGAGCGTAATAAGTTGGACTACCGATGCACTAACACTAGACTAATGACCACACCTCGCAGAACGTAACCAGTAAGCCTTGTGTACGCGAGAGGATACCACGCCCTGATGTGGTTAGTTTCCTTTTTTTATTCAAAGGGCTGATGTTATTTAATCATTCGAATAGTTATCGCGACTTTACCGGGGATGAACATATGGTGGACAGTTGTATATCGCAAACTAATCCGGGCAGATGTGTTGTTTACTGGATTCCAATTCACCTCGCGCCTCGGACTGCATCACTAATGGGGCGTAGCCGAGATTGTATTGCATTACACCCAGTGATTACAATATTGCATCGTCACTTTGATACCCAACTCACCCGAATGTTCTCACATGAGGAATTCTGTTAATTAGGTAAATATTTCCTAAGAGGATAGCATTACTTTCAGTTACGACAAAACCTGTTTAGGTAGAATGAACGGGAAAACACATGGGTTCAGACAAACCGATCAATAATGAGACCGTGTCTTCGCATCAGATGGGGTATGTTTATTACGTTTTGTTTAGCTCCTATTCTTTTAGCTTTAACACCAATTGAATGCAAACTGGAGTGGGAATTCAACCATGCTCTGCTACGACCGATATTCTCTCTACGCCTTGTAAACAAAGGCAGAAAAGCCACCGAAAATGGATGCCCAAGATATAATGTCAGCAATGATTGCAAATCAGCCTTCGAAGCGGAACTATCAGATCGTCTCTCAGCACAAACATCAGTCGAGGAGGACTCAGTGAGCACTGGACGGCAATCAAGGAAACGATCAAAATATCAATTAAAACAACAGCAAATTCTAACTCACGATCAAATAAAAAACGATGGATCTCCCCGTCTTCGGTTGCCCTGCTGGACGCTCGCAAAGCCATTCCTTCGGATTCAAACAACGACAAAGCGAGCAAATCCCTTAAACGCCAGCTCATCAAGAGTCTGAGGAATGACCGCGAGAAGTGGTGGATAGAGAGATGGAGAAGGCTGCGGCTATCAATAATACTCGCAATCTTTTCCGATTAATTAGGAGTACAGGTCCAATGGAAGCAGGGTTAAGTGAGATAATTACCGAGTCCGATGGTACACTGATCCATATTCAGCAATGCCGTCTAGATCGATGGGCAGAACATTTTAAGACTGGCCCGCGGCAACACAAGACCTCCCTACAACGGAATCAACTGTGCGAATACTGCCAGTTGACATCAGTCCTCCATCTGAAATAGAGGTTACCCGAAAAATAAACTACCTCAAAAGGTATAAGGCTTCCGGTCCCGACGGGCTGTCCCCATCGGTTTTTAAGGATGGAGGTCTAGCCTTGATTTTGGAGTTAACAAAACTCCTGGGTTCAGTGTGGGTAAAGGAACAGGTTCCAACTGAATGGTGTGAATCGGTGATCATACCGATTTACAAGAAGGGCAACTGGTCCTCTTGTGAAACCACAGAGGAACTAGTTTAATTAACATCGCCTCTAAACTTCTCGCCGGCATCATACTCCGTCGATTGTCTGCCGCACATGAACGATGTACGCGCGAGAATCAGGCTGGTTTCAGACCTGGTCGAGGTTGTATCGATCACATCTTTACTCTTCGTCAAATCCCCACCTGG